AAACCCTAAACCCTAAACCCTAAACCCTAAACCCTAAACCCTAAACCCTAAACCCTAAACCCTAAACGATAAACCCTAGGCCCTAAACCCTAAACCCGAAACTTTTTCTTATTTGTTCTTATCTGATAGTGTGCTTGTACCTCGACTAGCGACACCCAAACCCGTCAACCCGAAATCCCCCTAAGATCCTGAACCCCCCAGAAGTCGAAAGCCCCAAACTCCTACAGCCATAAACTCCTAAAACCCTAAACCCTAAACCCTAAACCCTAAACCCTAAACCCTAAACCCTAAACCCTAAACCCTAAACCCTAAACCCTAAACCCCCGCCCCCCCCCCCCCCCCCCCCCCCAAAAAAAAAACAAAAAAACCTAAAGTCCTAATCCCAAAAAGTCCTAAAACCCTAAACAAGATAAAAGGGCCTGAAGCCCCTAAAGCCCCAAGGCTGCTGAGCACGGTCCACGATCTGGAGATGGTCCAGGTGCCAGGCAGCTGGCAGGCTGCCGGCCCCCCCACACCTGCCCCAAACAGAGCTCCCACACCTGCCCCCAATCAGTGCTGGTTCATATATATATATATATATATCTCCATAGGTTTAGGGGTTCGGGGTTAGGGTTTAGGGTTCAGGGTTTAGTTATCGGCATGTTCTTTCCTTAGCTGCATTCAGGGCGCGAAATTGTTCCTGAATTGGGGAACGTAACCCTGTAATGGAACTGTGGCTGCGACTTCGAGGCGCTATTCCCTCATTATGGGGTTTGGAAGCCCTAAAAAGCCAAAGCCCTAAACCCTTCAAAATCCTGTTATTTTATGAACCCAATGCAAGCTCTATGAACCCCTAACCCCAGCACCCTTTACCCTGGGCTTCTTCATCCCTATGCAAGCCCACAGCCCCCACAATCCTGCAGCAACCTGAGCTCAATCGAAGCGCTACAACCCCGTATAGAATCTCACCACTGCAGCCCGACGACCCTAAACCTAAATGCTTTGTAAACCCGCCACAAGCCCTGCACACCGCAATCAAAGCACACGGTCAGCCAAACCCTAAACCCTCAACCCCTAAAGCCTGAACCCCAAACCCCAAGCCCGAAACGCTAAACCCTAAACCCTAAACCCTAAACTCTAAACCCTAAACCCTAAACCCTAAACCCGAAACCCTAAACCCGAAACCCTAAACCCGAAACCCCAACTAAGCCCCAACCCACCCCTGAGGCTCTCGAGGAGGAGCGCGCCAAGGCATTCGAGAAGCTGCGCCAGGGCCTGCTGGGAGGCCCTGAAGCCCAGAACAACCAAAAACCCAAAACCTTAAAACCCTAAACCCTAGCCCTAAACCCTAAACCCTAAAGCCTAAACCCACTAGAAGCCCTAAACCGTAAACCCCTAAGTCTCTAAACCCTCCCTAAGCATGCTGGGAGGGAGCTCGGACCTCCTCTACGTGCCACGGGAGGCCTTCTCGGTCTTCGTGGACTCTCGGGTGCAGGGGCTTTGAGGGTTTAGGGTTTAGGGTTTAGGGTTTAGGGCTTAGGGTTTAGGGTTTAGGGTTTAGGGTTTAGGGTAGGGCTTGAGGGTTGAGGGTCGGGTGCGGAGTTGGCTGTGCGGTTTTTGGCTTTAGGGTTTGGGGGATCAGTGGTTAAGGGGTTTAGGGTTTAGGTGTTTCAGGGTTCGGGTTCAAGGGTGGTTTATTGGCTTCAGGGCTAAGGGATCTTGAGATTCGTTGTTGAGTTTCAGGGCTTTACTGTTAATGAAAGGTTGGGGGTTTAGGTTTGTCTTAGGTTGCTTCGTGGCTTCAGGGAGTACTGGAAGTTCTGAAGGTTCATGGTACATAAGACACGGAGAGAAAAGCAAGGACTACGCCCGCATATTCAAGAAGTGGGAAGTGGACATGGAGATCGTTCAGCCGACCATGCTGACGCTGCTTCCCTTGGTCACAGGAGTTGGCTTTCAGAACTTTCATTGCGCAGGCGGGCGATTCTAGAAAAACTCTGGGGGGTCCCCCTGCGTATATAACTAAACCCTAAACCCTAAACCCCAAACCCACCAGCTATATGATCAACCCCAACAAGGCCCCCCCCCGCCCCCCCGTCCACACGTTCTTTGGTCGGAAAACCCGAGGTAGCTGCTGCCAGTGGGTGCGCAAGAAGCAGATCCTTTCCCGTGGCTGGCAACCACTTGGAGGTTCAGGGTACTTAGAAACCAATTATGAGGGTTTAAGGTTTAGGGTCTAGGGTTTAGGGTTTAACCTAGTTATAGATGTAGTTATGACCCACTTATAAGCCCGTTAGGTACCCTAACAGGGCTACAAGTGCGTTTACGATTGGGTTACTAAGCACCCCGAACCTCCAAGCAGGGTGCCTCATTCCCTTTGTGTTGCTGGGCAAGCTTCCATTTTCTACACCGTATTTGACCCTAAATATCCGACTCAACCCCAAACCCTAAACTTAAGCCCCAAACCCAAAACCCCTAAACCCGAAGCCCGGAAGAAACCTAAATCCCCAACCCCAAACCCTCCTAAGCCCTAAGCCCCCTAAGCCCTAAACCCTAAACCCTAAACCCTAAACCCTAAACGCTAAACCCTAAACCTAAAACCCTAAACCCGAAACCCTAAACCCTGAAACCCTAAAAAAACTAAAGCCCAGGAGACTTCGTCTGCGGACATCGGGTGGACCTCGCGAATCCCGAGTCGCTGGGAGCCATCCTGAGTCTCACCACGCGGACGTCGCGTCAGCCTGTGAGAGCCTGGGAGTTTGGTTGGTGTAGGGTTTAGGGTTTAGGGTTTAGGGTTTAGGGTTTAGGGTTTAGGGTTTAGGTTTAGGGTTTAGGGTGAAGGGTGTGGTGAATTTTGTGAAGTTCCTCAACCATCAACCTCGTACCCTAAACCCCAAGCTTCCTTACCATAATCCCAAGCTCCCTAAAATCTCTAAATCCGAAACCCTAAACCCTAAACCCCCTAAAGGTCCTGAAAGCCCAGGAGAAGGACGTCCCAAAAACGCAGCGCGATGGAATCCCCGGCCTTGGGGGAAGAGGCGGTCTCCTGCAAAGGCGAAGGCCGCGAAGGACGGAGGGAGGGGTCTAGGGTTTAGGGTTTAGGGTTTAGGGTTTAGGGTTTAGGGTTTAGGGTTTAGGGTTTACTGTGATAGGGCGGCGTTGGTGCTGTGAAGGTTAGGTTTCGGAATCGAGCTTCGTGAGGTGCGAAGAGCAGCTTTGGCCCGATTGTGGAGGGCCTTCTGACACTTTTCTCCCACCCCACGCCGTCCCAGGCGGCAAAGCCACCCAAACCTATTCCTTTCAGGGTTTGGGCCTAAACTCAAGGCAACAGTCCACTTCTGAAAACTTATTCAGTTTCATGACGTTCGGGGTTGGGTCTGCTGGGGGGGTCGGGGTTTCTCGCAGTTTCAGGGCGGCAGGAGAAAGTAAAAAAAATTGAATTTTGGCCTGGCCCGCCTGGCCTTTGGCCCCTACCGACCCCCATGCTGTCGGAGGCGGGTGAGCGACCTGGGTCGGCTTGCGCCAGCGAGGTCGAAGGGCGTAAGCGCCGCCCCCCAACGTAAGGGGGTGGCCTAGGCCCTGAGTTGAGGGTTTAGGGTTCGGGGTTAAGGGTGTGGGGTTTTGGGGGTTTAGGCGGGTTTGGGGGGTTAGGGTTTGGTGTTTAATTAGGTTTTTGAGGCTGAAGGTTTGGGGTTGAGGGTTTTGAGGGTCTGGGGGTCTTTGGGTTTGGGGGTTTAGGGGTTTCGGGCTTGAGGTTTTCGGGAAGCAGCTCAGAGGGTAAGGGCTTTGAGCCAACTTATTGGGGTCGGTTCCCTAGATTGGGCTCCCTGTTTTGGGGGGTTTAAACCCTAAACCCTAAACCCTAAACCCCAAACCCCAAACCCTAAATCCAATGTAGGGTTTAGGGCTGTGATTTACATGAAGCCCCAGCTGTCGACCCCACAGGAGCCTGCACCTAAGACCTTCTTGGGCCAGACGCCGACTTCGGTTTCCTGGGAAGGACCGCGGCCACCATCGCAGGACGTCGCAGATCAGACGGCCACAGGAGCGCTGAGCTGGGCCAACGATTCTTCGAGATCATGGTCAGGGCAGAGCTTCCCAGCCCTGGGTTACATGGAACAAAGCATTCCTGCGGAGCTGGCCGGTGCTGTTGCAACGCTGCTCATGATTCTGGCTCTGAGATTGTGTGCTGGGAAGCCCAGTGGTACCCTTGTTCCCTCTTTCTAGGGGAGGGTGGGTTCACGGTTCCCTTAGCATCACAAAAAGGAACCAAGTTTAGTAAGCAGGAACTTGGAGGTTCACGGTACTTCGTAACCCAATTATAGCTGTACTTATGTCCCAGTTAGAGCCCTATTAAAATACTCAAGGGGCTCATACCTACACGTATATCCGGGTCACTAAGTACCTTGAACCGCCAAGTAAAGAAGTAGGGAGGAGCTCTTGGTCGGACCAGCCCATGAAGACGTTCACGCCGCGCAAAGCTTCACTGCGCTTGGAATTTGGGAATGTGAAGAAAAAGTTGCATCCAGCGTAGGATTAAGGATGTGTGCAACGTGTTCGTTCCGTTGAGAGGACGTTCGGTTTAGGGTTTAGGGTTTAGGGTTTAGGGTTTAGGGTTTAGGGTTTAGGGTTTAGGGTTTAGGGTTTAGTTCGTGGATGCTGAGCAGTACATGGGCAGGTCACATCCAATCTGACTCATGAGAGCCACCGCTAAGCCCCCAGATCCAGGGTTTCGGGCTTAGGGTTTAGGCGAGTTACTCACACCCCTGAGGGCATGGTACAGCCACGTGCTGCTTGAACTTCACCGGGTGATATCCTCGTTATGAGTGGTTATAACCTTTTGTGGTAAACAGCTTTGCGGCACGCCCTAGACCCTCGACAGAAATTTCAACCCTGGAAAACCCTACGCCCGACAGAGGGGCCTCAGTTCCAGGGATTCAGGTTAGGGACACAGGCTGGAAGGGTTTTGGGGTTGACGGTGTAGCGTTTTAGGGTTTAGGGGTTTCGAGTGAGGGGGTCTAGGGATCCGACCTCTTCTTCACCTTGGCCTCATGGTGTCCCTCAAACTGTTTCAAGGGTTATTGCAGTTGGTCTAGGGTTTGGGCTCGAAACTGCCCAAGCCCTAAAGCCACGCGTTTCACGGTTTGGGTTTGCGAACGCTTGGCAGGGACGAATCGAGTCTCCGAAGTCTCCGGCGCAAGGAAAAGCCTAGGTGCTCTTAAGGACACACAAAGATGTTTATATTCAAATGCTTGGGGGGAAAATTCGGAAAGGACATGGTTTGCTTATTGCCACAGCTGCAGCCGCCTTAAACAGTAGAATCATAATATCAAGGAAGCCGTGCTCCCTGCTATGTTTTTTTTTTATGTATGTATGTATGTATGTATGTATGTATGTATGTATGTATGTATGTATGTATGTATGTATGTATGTATGTATGCGCTCTCGCTTCTTGCGCAACTTGCGCTGCTGTGCTCGTAGCAGCACCCTGGCTAAGCCTAAGCAGCGCAGTGTCAGAAGCGTTCCTTGTATGAGCTAAATAGTCAGGTTCATATGCTTAAGATCATTTCTTCTCTTACTCGTATTACCGCTGACTTTTTCGATTGCTTGGCTAGCCATGCAAGTGCTGCAAGCTTCTTGGCTTCACAGTTCCAGGCGTCTTACAGAAAGAAAGCAAGCTGCAAGGGTCGTAGGCTCCGACAGCTTATTGTAGTTTAGCCAGGCGCGAGTTGCTTTTTTTGTTGATCCGCATCCTTTGGTCCCCATGGCGAGAGCGGAGCCGCGGCAGCTCGTGCGCTGCGATACAGAGTCCCTTCTGCGCCTTTGGTGTTTTGAAGTAGTTGTTGATCGCAAGGGGTCGCAAGCCACTGCTGACACCGGATGATGTCAGTGGATACAGACATAAACATCAGTGTCGACAATGATGAGGTTCCTGCCGAACGTGTGGTTCTGCACGACGAAGGGGACCATTCGCAGGCAGATGGGCAGTACAAAGAAACGGGCAGTTCTCAAGCAGATGTGCCGGATGCAGATGTTGGGCAGGTCGAGAAGATTCAGGGTGCCCTGGCTGACTTTATTGGCAAGCTCAAGCTTACAAGTTCCGACATGCTGCGGACGACGGCGGCACATCGGGCGCTGTGGCGCTTCGGGCGGCCGCTCCGCGACCCGGAGTTCTCCCGGCAGCTCTATGGATGGAGCGATGTGACAAAGCGTGTCGCGCAGTTCTGGAGCCATTCTTGGCATGGATCGGTCGTGGCGAAGCTACTACTGCTGCAGGTCATGTACAATGGCTTGCCGGCTGTTTTGGTTGGCAGCGCATTTGTGGCGATCACGCTGCTGCTGCTGCTGCACGTGTGTGCTCTTCCATGCAGCATCGAACGGAATGGGCAGTCAGCCATTGCTGTTAGTGTCGGTTTGCTTGCCAGCTCTTTGACCTTCTTCCTTTGGCGGTCCGGGCAGCGGATCTTCTTGGACAGGATTTGTATCCACCAGACAGATGAGAAGCTCAAAATGATGGGCTTGCTGAATGTCGGAGCAGTGCTGAAGAAATCTGATTCCCTGCTAGTTTGCTTCGACGACACCTACATCCGGAGGCTTTGGTGCGTGCTAGAGATCTCTGCGTACTTGAAAAGCAACGGCCAAGAAGGGATCAACATCAAGCCAACCAGCTGGGGTGTGAGTATCGTTATCTTATTCTTATCAGCAAACGGCATCTTTCTCGGTGCCGCGGGTGTGGGTGCGATTCTCAGACATTCGGCTGGCGTGACGACTATTCTGGGTGATGGACAACGGCTGGGCTTCTTGCTTTGGGCGATACTTGGCAGCATAGCCCTGCCTGGTTCCTTGATCACCTTCTCATTGGTGAGCCGCTCCTTGCGTGCCCACTTCCGGGCAGTGGATCACATTCTCAAGCAGCTGGAAACTTTCTCCGTCAAGGAAGACACCGTCTCCCACTGCTGCACTATAAATCACCTCGACCGCCGAACTGGCACGGCCATTCCATGTGATCGCAAGATTCTTGAGAAGTGCCTTGAGTTGTGGTTCGGCTCGGTGCAAGCCTTCGACGAGTTCATTCAGAACGAGCTGTCAGTGGTTTTCAGGAAGCTCACAACCAGCACCCTCCCCTACACGTGGGTTGTGGCTGCCGGAAGCCCTCTCCTTTGGTTCTATGCCGGGACAGCAACCTATCATCTGCGGACAGAGAACTACAAGGCCGCAGCTCGGATGCTCTTCTACATTCCTTCTTGGTGGTTGGCGATCGCCCCGACATACCTCCAGCTTTTCGTGTGTGTCGCTCGCCGTGTTCGGCGACAGCGCCAGAGTCCATGCCAGGAGGTGCTGGTCAATTTGGGCTGCTCCATGTACGGCGGGCTCATCTACTTCGTGATTGCTTTCTTCGAAGGATTTTGGTACGCAATGTTTGGAACGGATGTGCCCTCGATGGCAGCGTTCACGGTGGTTGTGATGGCGATCTGTGCTCTCATTCGCTGCATGCCATGCGGGCCAAAGCACAGGGCATAAGGCCCAAACTCCGAGCAAAAGCCCAAACCCTAAACCCTAAACCCCAAACCCTAAACCCCAAATCCTGAGCCCCAAACCCTAAACCCTAAACCCCGAAGCCCCCGTAACATAGTATGGTCGAATACGTCAAGCGGGCCACCCGTTGCTTTTTTCGGGTGAGCATACTGCAACTCGTGGATGTACAGTTTTATAAGTTGAACCTGCATGCGCCTATCTCCCAGCACCGGGCACATGGAGCTTGACACACGCTTGAGCTCTGCAACCTTTGACAACAGCTTTCGGTATCATCCCTCGCCACTGCCAAGCAGGTTCAGGGCTTCGGATGGCTGTAAGACTGTAGCTGGGTTTTGGAGTGCTGTGCTTTAAGACTTTTTTTTGGTTCTGGGTTCCTGTTATAGCTACTTATGCCTAAAAAGTATGTAAGACTGTAGCAACCTTCGAAAGGATCATTTTTGACAGGGAGAATACCGAGTGAACATGTCCTAGTGTCAGCACTAGAAATCAGCTCTTGGTCGGACCAGCCCATGAATGTGTCCATGCGGAATGAAGCTTGGAATGTGAACAAACATCCAGCATAGGATTCAGGATGTGTGCAGTGCATTTCGTTGAGAAGATGTGGGTTCGTGGATGCTGAGCAGTGCATGGGCATGTCACATCCAATCTGACTCACGAGAGCCACCGCGAAGCCCCCAGATTCCCTGCGAAAGAGTCACTTCCAAAGGTTTGTGGTAATCAGAAGCCCATTGTAGCATCTGGTGGCTAAGGGTTTAGGGCTTAGGGTTTAGGATAGGTACTCACACCCCCAGCTACAACTGCCCATGAGCCTTCTCATAGCAAGAAGGAGTGAAGGACATTGCGCAGCCACGTCTGGAACTCATGCTGTCCGAGTGCTACTTGGAACTTCACGGGGTGATATCCTCGTTATGACTGGTTATCGCCTTGTGTGTGGGGCTCTTAGAGCCCTAGTTTTTTTGCTTCATGAATGTTAACACAGCTTTGCGCACGCCCTAGACCTTCGACAGTAATGCAACCCTAAAGAAACCAGGGATTCAGGCTGGGTCAGAATATCAAGCAAGCCATACTCCTCGCCATGTATGCATGTATGCATGTACGCATGTATGCGTGTATGCATGTATGCATGTATGCATGTATGAATGTATGCATGTATGCATGTATGCATATACATACAACCCTCCTTATGCGCATGCTCTATCTGTAAAAAGTCAGATTAGTAGTCTTAAGATATTCTTTTCTGTTGCTTTTATTATGCTACTATTATTGCCGCTGACTTTTTCGATTGCTTTACTAGCCATGCAAGTGCTGCAAGCTTGTTGGCTTTAGAGTTCCAGGCGTCTTACAGAAAGAAAGGAAGCTGCACGGGTCGTAGGCTCCGACAGCTTATTGTAGTTTAGCCAGGCGCGAGTTGTTTTTTTGTTGATCCGCATCCCCGGTCCCCATGGCGAGAGCGGAGCCGCGGCAGTTCGTGCGCTACGATACGGAGGGTCGGCTGGTCGAAGATGCGAACGGGGGGTACACCCTTCAAGGGGACATCGTTGCAGTGGATGAGTTCCAGGTTGCCGCAGCAATTCTGGGAGGGGAGCTGGAGCTCCTGAGTCAAGAGATCGACTCCCAGCACCTCTTCACGCTGTGCTGCCGCTTCGGCCTCCACAGCACGGCTGCGGCGATGATGACGCGCGGAGTCCGCGGGTGCGTGTTGGAGGCAGAGCACCTCGAACCCTTCCGCGCCCCCAGAGGCCTGGGGACTCGGGCGATTCGCCGGGACTGTGAGTGTGGCAGCAGATGGAAGACATGCCGAAGCTGCTGTTGGGGTTTCGACTTCCCTTCGGGCGTTTGGATGTCAGACTGGAGCTCCTCAATTCAACGCGCCCGCGGGCTGGCTTTCGAGGTGGCAAGCCGCCCCCTCTTTCGAGCAGTTTCCGAGGCCTTCTGCTCTGGCAACACTTTACCCAATTGCCTCATCACCAGACCTGCAATGGCTCGACTGATTGATGTTGCAATTCTCACTGGAGATGCAGAGCTGGCTGCTGCTCTTTCAGCTGCTGCCGATTGCCGGCCGCTGAGAAGGTGGAGGTGGCAGGACCTCATCGATGTCGATGATGCTCCATTTCTCGGAAGTTGGAGGGTGCAGGAGGCGATCGAAGTCTGCGAGCCGGGGGTCATCAAAGCAGCCGTTGCTGCCGGAGCAGCCTTCGAAGGCCTCGTGGGATGTGACGTCCCCTACCAGCTTCCTTTTCGGGAGGCCCTTGCGCTGTGCGACGACAGAGAACTCTGGGATGAGGTGAAGTGGAAGATGGCGGCTGGAAGCCCGCACGCTCCCGGAACGTATAACAACTTGAGCCTTTTCTTGTGTACATGCAGCGACCTGGACGACTCGGGACGTCCGGCGGTTGAGCTGTCTGCAGAGTTGCTTCAGGCCGCCAGGGATGACAATTTGTTGCTGGAGGAGTTTGCAGTTTGCATCTATTTGGGTGACTGCCCTGCATGTGGCCGGGAATGCGGCTGGACTCGCCTGACTCTGCTGGACTGTGCCATCCTCCGCGGTCAGGCAGCTGCGGCCGAGCTCTGCGCATCCATCAACACGAGGACCTCGTGGTGGACGCGATGGCTGTCTCTGGAACCCGTGGCCTTGGCCTGCGTTGCCTGCGGCAGCACAGTGGAATCCATTGCGGCAGGCCCCAGTCCTCCGGCTCCCTTGGTCGCCCGGAAAGCTGCAGCAGCGGCGGCCTTGCAGATGGCTCTGAGGGTATCGAAGAAGCAGGCCGGGCTTCGTATGGGCGTGCCCCTGCTTCAGGCCATGCGCTCCTGGGCACGCGGGAAGAGCGTCTCGGCAGGATTGGTCGACCGGCTGCTGTTGCAAGTGCTCGACTTCGCCGTGGCGTTGCCGGCAATAGCTTTGGCACTTCGAGGATGTGAGGGGGAGCTGTTGTCATGCTTGGAGGTTCATGGTACTTAGTAACCCAAGTTATAACCGTGCTTGTAACCCAAATTATAACTCTATCAGGGTACTTCATTGGCTTCTACTGTAAGTGATTTGTATCTACACTTCTAATTGGGCTGCTAAGTACTCTGAACCTCCAAATAGAGATGCGTTAATGGTTGCCAATCCCCGATGTGAAGGACCAGCCTGCATCAGAAAAACGGAGGCCGGCTCCGGTGTTGGTCCATCTCTAGAATGCGGAACATGACCCTTCCTTCAAACCCTAAACCCCACACCCCAAACCCTAACCCCCAAACCCTGAACCCCAACCCTAAACCCCAAACCCTAAACCCCAAACCCTAAACCCTAAACCCCAAACCGCAACAGGCAAGGGTTTGGACCTTGGCCTTTGGGGTCGAAGGCTGGAGAAGTCGGAGCAGTTCCAGGAGTGTAAAGAGTGCAGGAACCGTATGCTGAATTGGGTGGGGTTTAGGGTTTAGGGTTTAGGGTTTAGGGTTTAGGGTTTAGGGTGTAGGGTTTAGGGTTTTGGGTTTGCTTACTTGGAGGTTCATGGCACTTAGTAACCCAAATAGACCGGTACTTATAGCCCTAGTAGGGTACTTAAGGGGCTTATAAGTGGTCTATAACTACACTTAAAATTGGGTTATGAGTACCCTGATCCTCCAAGTAAGTGCGTCAACAATCTGTGTAGACCCTTAAGATATTTTATGTTTTCCCTTATTGGGCTTTTCTATTCAGAGGGGTTTAAGGACCAACCCAGTAGTACACCACGCGAAATGGTGTCGACCCGGAAGGCAAGGTCACGAGCGGTTATGGCGATAGTTATCCCGCTTACAACCCCAATTCTGTCCACCCATGACCATACCCAAACCTCAAAGCCCAACCCCTAAACCCCAAACCCTCAAGCCTAAACCGTAAGTCTCCAAGTAGTAGTTTCCCGATTGAACACGGGGAGGGGGGTCGATTTCGCGCAGCAGACACTCAGACACTCAGACACTCAGACACTCAGACACTCAGACACTCAGACACTCAGACACTCAGACACTCAGACACTCAGACACTCAGACACTCAGACACTCAGACACTCAGACGCTCAGACGCTCAGACACTCAGACACTCAGACACTCATGAAGAATTTGACTGTCTAAATGTCTGACTGTCTGCCTTCTTGGTCCGCTAATTCAAGAAGAATTTGACTGTCTGAGTGTCTGACAGTCTGCCTTCTTGGTCCGCTAATTCAGACATTCGGGAGTCGCTTCCGTGCAGCAGACACTCAGACACTCAGACACTCAGACTGTCAGACACTCAGACTGTCAGACACTCAGACACTCAGACAGTCAGACAGTCAGACATGGAACCTGCGTGCATTCAGACAGAGAACCGCGCAGACACTCAGACGCTCAGACACTCAGACGCTCAGACACTCAGACACATGCTCGAACAAACACCAGACAGTAAGACAGTCAGACACTCAGACACTTAAAGCTACGCAGACACTCAAACACATAATCCACACGGCTTTCTTACGACCCAACTTCATCAGAAAATCACTTTTCTACTGTACTTGGGTACGAGACCGGTAAGCAAGCAGGTCTCCTCCAAAAGAAAATGGCTGTTTGTCTGACTGTCTGACTGTCTGACTGTCTGAGTGTCTGAGTGTCTGACTGTCTGACTGTCTGCTTTTCAGTTTGCGCCCCATTTGCAAGTTCCCTCAGTGTCCCTCAATCCACAAGCACATTGCCCCATGCGGAATGCTCAGATTCAGCTCCGGGTGCTCAGTCGCGAATGCCATGGGCATGGGGTTGATCCTTCAAGGTATACAGGCTTTAGGAGTTTAGAGTTTTGGATTAGGATTAATAGGGCTTTACGGGTTTAGGGCTTTATGGGTTTTGGGGCGTTAAGGGTTTAGGGTTCAGGGAGCATGTTTGGACATGTTTGGGGTCCAATATGTGTGAAGACCTGTTGCCGCAGGGTCTTTGGCTTAAGCCCTCATATTTTTCGTTCGTTCTCGTAGTTTCGTTTGTTGTGTTAGGACAGGAGT